TTTTAGGTGATCTGTTTGCCCAATGCACAGTCACATAATTCAGGACACATTTCCTCAGTTTATTGACATACAGGATGGCATCAAAGTCTCAGTAAAGTCAAGCTACATTATCGCTATTGGTTTTTAGGATGAGTCATTCTGTCAGAGAAAATTAGGTTAGCCTGACCAGACATATTCTAAACATTACCCACCCTGGGTTTTATTTTCCATAGGGTGTCCAAAAATGGGTTTTATAATGATATTTTCCAGTGTCTTTTCAGCTTAGGCCATTATATGAATGCTCAAAATTAACTCTTTTTTCAACACCTGGTCCTTCATATAACCCAAAGACCTGTAAGTTAATTACTAACCTAGAAAATATAGAGTTTAGCAAAGCTTTACTTGGGATTTCTCCCATTGGCCCTCAGCCAACTTCATGGGGTAGAGTTTCTCAGTGCCTAAATCAAAACTTTAAAAATAAATGTTGCAGGCAGGCCGAGTGGCGCGTTGGTTAAGAGTTGGCTTGGGATGCCAGCTCTGAGCAGCAGGACCCTGGTTCAGATCCCACATTAGGACCAATGATGCTGCACCTTCTACAGCCAAGATGGTGAACAACAGCTCGACCTAGAGCTGGGCATCCGTGAGTCGCCGGCATCAGCGTTGGCTGCAGTGGGCTGCTGTAAAGCTACCATGAGTGGCTGGCAGCTGGCATGACCGGGGGCAGCCGACGTGAGCTGCCATGAGCCTCCATGAGTGCCAGAATGGCCAGCGAGTGACTGCCTCACCTGGGAAGAGCGCAATTGTCCAGTATTCTTGTGACCATTGTGCATTAGTATGAGATTGTTAGCTGGGCTATGAGGTATCATGGGTAACTCTGTCATGGGACAGATCTCTGGACTGTAGAGGAGAGCATGTTACCTAGTCTGTGCAGGCACAGCTGAACTGATGCACTAACCACCAAAGCTAATCACATGTAGCTATGTTACCCTGAGTTAAGGAAGGAGAGTGACAGTGTTTGTCCAGTAAATCATGAACATTTCCATTACTCAATATATGTACAGAGCCAAACTTATACTGTATTCCAGGAATATGTGTTTAAGCCAAAATGCTTAGAATCAAATGGAAGAGACCAGAATAATGTATGTGAAACAAAGGAGAATTTATGATGCATATACTCAACAGGCACAGAGAGAGATTCTAATAATACTGGCCACAGTTGTTAAAGAAAATAAAAAAAGACTGGGGTTGGTGTGATGAAGGAAGCTTCACAGAGGCAGTACAACCTGAACACCCAAATTGAGGGGGTAAGAAGAGTCAACATATTTTACTATGGAAACAACTGTTTTGTTTTTTCTATTTGCTTTCTTAGAAGAATTCAACCCATTCTAGGGGAATGCACGTTACACACACACCCCACCAACAGGGACAGGCTGCAAATATTTTCCCTCACCTCAAGGGAGTGTTTGAAACACTCTCTTGGAAAGGAAACGAATTTATTTGGTTGCTAATAATTTGGGCTCCAGTTTTAATGAGCAATCCACTGTGAAAGATAAAGAGGATAGTAAGGTCTTTTTGCTCTCTCTCTCTTTTTTGGTAAAGTGATTAAAAGGGTATGAACAAATGTCATGTAGTAGTTAAGATCATGGACTCTGGCGCCAAACTATCTGTGTTTGTATTCCTGATTATTAGGTGTACAACCTTGGACAAATTGCTCATTCTCTTTGTGCCATAGAGTCCTCATCCATAAAATGAGAATAGTAAGAGTACCTATCCCAAAGGGTTGTAATGAGGATTTAAACAGTGGTTATTATTACTGTTATTATCATTTATTGTTATATTATTATTGGTCTGGAAACCTGGAAAGGCATGGGGAGTAGATAGTATGGACAGATGGGACCACAGAGCCCTCCAAATGATTCCAGGGGAATTGGCTAGGAAGTGTGTGTATGTGTGTGTGTGTGTGTGTGTGTGTGTGTGTGTGTGTGTGTGTGTGTATTGGGGAAGGAGAGGCTGAGGATGAGGCAAAGTGCTGCCTGGACAGTGCCTATTGAGTACACTAGAGAAGGACTCCATGAAGAAAATTATTTTGGTACCCAAACAATCAGATTTCTCCATAGCATCCAACTGCCTTGCCTAATGAAGAATTTAGTTTTGGAAGGAACATTATCACATGCGCTGTTTTTGTCAGCATTTTCTTTGTCATTTGATAGTCAACAGAAGCAAGGACCATCAATGCTACAAGAATTTGGTTGGTCTCCATTAAAATAACCTATTGCGGACAACAATGAACCTACCAAACAAAAAACAAATGAACGAACAATAAAACCTAGAACGCATGTCTCAAAAAGAGGTCCCCTGGGCATAACAAGGTTATTGTTGGAGGATTTCTCTAAACCTGTATGTCTAGGGTGACTGAACTGGACAAATTTGAGAACCTTCATCTGGAATAGTGTTTAGTGTCACCTCCTGTTGCAAATAGCTGAGTCTTGAAATCATAGAAGACCCCTTTTTTAAAGAACTACTTCTTCCGTGGAAGAATTTCCTCAGACAGTTACTCTGAGGTAGTGCCAGTCAGCCTGGTCCTTAGTCCCACAGCATCAGCATCACCTGGTAGCTAATACGACATGTGGAATCTCAGGTCCCATTCCAGACCTGCTCAATCAGAATCTCCCTTTACGAGGTCCTAGGAGACTCACGTGTGCGTTAAAGTCTGAAAATCTTTGCTCCAGTGGACTCAAATGGGTCACATATCTTCTTGGGGTGTCTATCTCACCACCCTGGAGTAGCAAAGCATTGTGGTACACTGGTTGATCATTTCCAAAAATTCAAGAAAATGTATCCCCAGAAAGCAGGGATAATGATAGTAAGTGTGGCAATTACAAGTAAAACCTCTTCTTTGAATTAGCAATTATAGAACTATCTGAAGGAAGGTGTGCCAGTCTTCATTTTGAAACCTTTGAACCTTCAGAGGTCTTGAAGAGAAAGATGCCTCTGGAATGTGGCATAGCACAGGTCCCTTAGAAGTTTAGATCAAAGGTGAGAGTCATCAAAGTGTTTGTGGACTCAAAAGCAAGGAGACATCAGTTCTGAAATTCAAGAGTTGTGTTGAGATGGTTTTTGTCCTTCTGTGAGGAAGAGTGCTTCCTGAGTCTTTGAACCCTAGAGACCTGCCAATTTGAGTGGAAGAGGTGACATTTTCCTTGAAGCTACAGGTTGCATTCTGTTCAGGTCCTCAAGCATCAAGGTCAGGCCCTGTTCAGAATAACTGAATGCTAATTGACTTGCTGGGAATTAATGTGCACTATCTTGTTTACACCAATGTTCTGCAGGCAGTTTGTAAATCATTCTCTCCGGCAGGTTCTGACATGGATTTGAAGTTTGTTTTGGTTTTATAGGAGTTGGGTTGATCTCTAGCTGTGTTAGAGGGCGAGGGAAATTAGAATGATAGAGGGGGACCTCTCCCCTGCACACTTCTATATCATGAATGATCATCACAATTGATAGGGATTTTGGAGCCTGCATTTACCTCCAGGTAAGAAACAGACTGGCTATATAATTATGCTAACACTTTCCAGGGAGGCTTTTTTTGTCCTTCAGCTTTGCCAAATGTATGCAGGCTCCTGCATGCTTGAGTATTCCCATCGGTAGCTACCCAACACACACACACACACACACACACACACACACACACAGTAGGCACAGACTAGCTGGCACACTCATAAAGACCATGCAAGGTGACCTCAGTGATTTGTGTGGCTTCCCCTTGCCATGGTCTATTTCTCAATGCAGTGGGCAGTCTTCCAAATACACAGCAGCTCTCTGCGCCATAATCACTTTGATTGCCATTGAAATCCCAAGCAGGAGATATGCAGTTTCCTTCCATCTTGCTCTGCTTTTAGTCTATAATGATTAGAATCCCACTGTTGTTTATTTTTCTTGCCACTAACTGGCTATTAACCTTAGACAAGTCACTGTGCTTCCATTTCCTTGTCTATAAAATTAAGGGGTTGTCTTTTTTAGCCATAACCTGGGTTTCCTGGTTTTTCCTTTGATTCTTGGAAGCAAAATGGTTGCCAACACCAAGGCTACTTACTCCTCTTGGGAAGGCTGGAGGAAGCTGCAATGCTGTCGTGAGAACTGTAGTGGCCTTAGAAGCTTTGTTTGGAGTTCTGAATCTGCCTCTGACTTAATGTGCATCTGACCTTCAGCAAATCCCTCAGATCTTCAGTTTCTTCATCTGTACAATGGAGATAAATATCCTGTCTTGCCTACTCCACAGGGCCGTGATGAAGGAGTGCATTGCACTCAGGAAAGTGCTATGCAGTGCAGAGGGTAATAAATTACCAGGTTTGTCTGATCAGTCCTTTTAACCAGGGAGATGGTATCAAGCTGGTCCCAACACCTGAGAGTCCCCAATTAGCCACAGCTGCGGTGCTCAGCTCAGGCTACACAGCAGAGCCCTGTAGAAATACAGTTCCCCTGCTCCCCTTAACACCACCCAATCACAATTTCTGGGGGAAAGTCTCAGGCATATGAGATAGATGTGCAGCAAGATTTGAGAATGACGGATCTTAGGACAAGGAAATCTTACCATTTTCTTGATCTCAAATCCTGATATTCATTGTCTATGACAGGGTGTCCCATCTCACATCTGATGCCTTAGGTGGAGTGTACAGGATAGAGTCTGCAGGTGGCTGTCCAAATCTACCTTCTAGTCTTGATTCATGGTTTTCTTTCCCATCTATTAAATAGGAGAAATCTCACACTGCTGTTGGAAATGAACTTCCTGAGAACTGTATATCTTTTGGAAACAAGGCGAGGTGAAAATAGAGCTATATTTAGTCCTCTCTAAGCCCTCTTTTAAGCATTAACCGGGGCAGTTGAATTTGGTCTTTTGCCCTTTGAAGCACCAAAGTCATACAGGGTGATAGAAAAAGGATAAGTAGAGAGGAGCATCTACTTAGGTTTCTACTTAGATGATTTGTAACCGGTTAGAGTCTGTTTGGAACTGACACTAGTTCAGTTCTGTGCCCAAGGAATATCTGTGGGATGAGTACATGGAATTTATGCAAATTGCTTCACAAGCCACCAAGATTTTGGGTTAATCTTTCCCTTCACTGTTCTTCTGATCAAGCTCTACGTCTCTGGGACTAAAGTCAAACTAGGTATTTCACAGCCACAGCTCCAGGCAGGTGCCATTAAGAACCTCAGAGGAGGTGGCCAGGGTGGATGGATGAGGGAAAAAATAACCTCATCCAAAATATATGATTCAAACTTAAAGGAGCAAAGCAAAATCTCAGTAGGTGGACTTTTTATTTATTTCATTTTCGTTTGTCAGTGAAACAAGATAAGAACATCTGTCTCCTGTTAAATAGGAGCCACATTCTTTCAGGTAAGAATGATAATGCTGGGGGAATGCATTTCTGCAAACTTGCCTTAATCTGTTTCCGGGGTAATGGACTTTCACAGTGGCCTCAAGTGCCGTTGTTAATAGCTTCTTGCTTCTTCCATCAGAAATGCACTAGAGCTGTTTTCAGATGTATGTTCACTTTGAGGAAAAGAACAACAGAACCTTCTCTGAGAGAGAGAGAAAAAGATTAAACTCTTTCTCTAATCTAGCAGAAAAGGGGAAATTACCTCAGTGCATGCGTCTGCTGGTGGTATAAACAGCAGTATTAAATAAAAATGCTCGTTTCTTCATGACTGAAAAATATTTGGGACACAGAACTTGGTCTCCAACTCCTCTGTATTTCCCTGGTTACCTTAATACTGTGAGTTCTGGACTCCAGGGAGAAAGTCTAAAAATACTAGAGCATATTTGTTGAAAAGCAAGTAACAAAGATGGAAGGGGCCAGCTTTTGCCTTGAAGGAAAACAAAAAAGAAATATAAAATCTTAATGTTTTCATTTTTAAACTCTAAGTCAAAGTCAGATCTTGAGCTATTGTTCTTTATTTTTATTTTTAATAGGCAATGTGGAGACATGGTAACACAAATTCAAAGGGCACAAAAGGAAATGTATTGAAAAGCTATTTTCTCTTCTAATGCTGTCCATCGGCGTGCCAGTTCTCCTTCTCTGAGGCCACCTCTGATGCCAGACTCTTGTGGTTTCTTTCAGAGACATGCTCTGCATATACTGTGTGTGTGTGTCCATACACATTCATAGGGCTCTCTCTTCCTTCGTGTAACTTAAGCAGTTGCAATTCTATACACAATCTGCTCCTAGCTTTTTTCCACTTAAAAAAATATCCTAGAGATAATTTCATATCAGGACGTAGAGTCCAGCCTTCTTGCTTTAAAGCTGTAGAGGAGTTCACTGAGGCAGTATCATAATTTATTTAACTAGCTCTGTGCTGATGGGAAGTTAAGCCCATTGGATTCATTTACCACTACTATGTTGGAATGAATATTCTTATACGTGTATCTTAAAGTGTAAAATATTTTTGAATCTTAAGCTGCCATAATATAGCTTGATTAACACATCTCTTCTGTAGTTGCCAGTTTCTCCTAGGCCCAGCAGAAAACTTTCGCGGATGTAATCATATTTTATTTTTGAAAAATTAACTGTAGGTCAGAGTGCAATGCTGATTTCTGTATGTGGGATTTCCTTCTGGTTTACTTTCACTGTTACCAGCCTAGCCAAGGAATATAGACATGTGAGCTATATTTCCACACAGCCACTAGATCAGTTATTGAGCTAATATGACCCTTTCTGCTGCCATGGGAAGGTTATAAAAGTCACCTTAACAGCCTGAGGAAATAAATTCCAACAGTGGTCTAGGTACCACCTCTGACTCAGGGCTTTCTGAACGCATAGAATTTCTGCCTCTGCACTGATAAGGTCATACACATATATGCATCAAAAGTCAGGGATCCGTAGGGCTTTAGCTTTCAAAACCGAGTAAATAGAAACTAGAATACATTTGGAATGAGACTGAAGTCTCTGGGAATATTGGAGTTTTGTACTTTTATTTTTTAAATTAGCAAGCATATTTTGGGGATGGATAAATAGGGAGCTAGCCATGTAGGAATGGTGAGGCAATCCTTCCATCCATCAGATGCAGGTCCATGCAGAGATGTCTTTAAAAGCTGAAAGCTACTGCCTTAGGGTAAAATTGCTAGAGAAGATTTGTTCTTTGACTGGTAAAAGAAAAGGAAACATGGGGAAAGGGGCAGACAGGTCAAGGTAGTGAAAAGAACACAGATTGAAAGTTAGAAAACCCATGCTTTAAGGACTAAATGAATTTAGTTAGAACCAAGTGAAACCTGAGTAAAAAAGGAAATGTATTTGTTATGCGGGATTACCTCGATTCAGGGGTTTAAGAAGCATCACTGCACCAAGTGTCTCTTTACCCTCCAAGCTTTTGTCTCCTCTGTGTTGGCTTCATTCATCCTCAGGCTCCAAATGGTGTTACAATGGCTGCCAGTAGCTCCTGTCCTGAATCCTGAATCCTCCCAGGTACAAGGCTGGCAGATAGAAAAGTTCCTCTTCCCCTAAGAGGTCAAATGAAAGTTCTGGATGGGCAAAGGTCTAAAGTCAGAGCTCTTACCAAGGGAATTGGGGAATGGGTAACTGGTGCCCCAAATTAATAAATGTCCCAAACAGCCTCTCACTAGGTATATGGCTTTGGCTCAGTTAATTTCTTATTGTCTTACTTTCCTTGTTTGTAATGTATGGTTAAACTTGATCATCTTTGTGGCCTCCTGCAGTTATAAACTAATTTCCTTCCTCTCGTTCTTTGCTTTTCATATTTATTGAGCATTTACCCTAGATGGGCATTCTCCTTATTCCTATTTCTGACTATATTTTAATATGTATAAGAAACAGATATGTATTTAAAAATGAAAATATAATATATGTAATCTAATAGAGATAAGTTTAAAGGACAACAGGGAATACAGAAGAGGGAGCAAATAGTTTCCTTGTTATAATCATTGCATTTGAATCCAGTTGGAAACTTGAGCAGACTGACAAATCTGTGGTGCCCACATTCACAGGCTGGATACAGGGACTACAAATGTGAAGCTGACAAGGAGAAAAGTGGAGTGGCCAATTAATTCACCCACATTTATGCTTGACTTACTAGGACCATCTACACTAGTACCCAAAGATGGTTGAGGACAATATAGACACAGATGAAAAGAAATTTGCCAAATAATTAAAGAGCAGACAAGCATGATTTCTGAGCAAGTAGCAAGAAACTGAGGTAAAAAATAAATGCTGAAGGATAATTAGATAATTATTTTAACAAGAGGTTGTCAAGGATCCCCAAAACCTAATTTAACTAAACCAAAGTAAACCACACTACCACCATCACCACCAGAAAACAGATAGTGGTTTGTAGTACATAACCCAATGAAGTTAGAAATCAGCTAACAAAGATTAGATTTTATTTTCTAGAATCCTGAAACATAGGAGAGTCTCCCTTGTGATGGATTGTGTGTTTATACCTGAAGTCAGAGGAATGAATTAGAAGATCATTTAAAGCCCTAGGGTTCACAAGTCTAATATTTTGTTTTACTTCAGTAGATGTTCTATGAGGTGGCTACCCCATATAAAAAATTGCTACTGCATAATAGTTGATGCTGATTAGGAGACAAATGTGTTGGTCCAGGGAACTGTTTTAAAGAATACAAAGAGAATTCCATGGGCTCTAAATTCCAGGGAAAAGTAACAACAAGAAATATTAGAAAAAGTAGCATTTATATTCTCAAGCATAATCTCCTTGAGAATGCCAAAATGCATCACAGAGATGATCATTGCAAAGACGGGAACTACTGCGACAGGAGGGAGTTAACCTGGGATGAAAGATTGAGCTTTCCTATTTTACCTTTCCTTTCTAATCCAGTTCTTTTCTAAAGTAAATTCTTAAAAGAATCTATCTATCTATCTATCTATCTATCTATCTATCTATCTATGTAGATAGATAGATAGATAGATATCACTTTTCTAGGTAAAATTAATTATAGTCTTATTTAGCAACAAGAGGGTGGCTTATTTTACCCTTTAAAGTTCCTTCCAGGACTATTGTGATTCTAATACAATGCTTTAGGCATTGAATAGTGTCAGGAATCTAAATATATGTTTTTTGTTCTAATACAAAAAGGGAAAACAAATGTTACAAAGAGAAGAAAAAGAGAGGCTGACAGAAAGAAATGCAGTCTTTTCTATTCAGTGTTTACTTTTCACAGGAATACAAATATTTAGCATTGTTGTGATTTTCACACTGACAATGAAAGTCAGCCTATTGCAAAGATGTGAATTAATTCTTGAAGTCTAAAACTCAAAATAAAATTTTGAACACATGTTAGGAAAAACAAGCTGTGATAGAGTCTATGGAGTAGATGAGGACATAGTCACCACCCCAGAGGGCTTCTAGACTAATGGGATATAAGATTTAGACTGATGCAGGCATAATACATTAAGAGAATACCAAGGGGAAAAAAATCTGCCAGGGAAAAGTTTAAGATGAAGTAAAACTTGACATGGACCCTGAAACAAGGGTAGATTTTCTGGCAAGAAATGAGGTGAGGTGAGGGTTTCAAGCTGGAAGGAACAGCATCAGCAAATGAACAGGTAGGAGAGCATAAGGGGCCACAGGTACAGCAATTTCCCTGGAACAGAAAGTTACCTTTGAAGCAGATATGACTTCCAAGAAACTTAACTAGCAGTAAGTGAGGTATAGCAAAAAGCTATGTAGGAATTGCAAGTTTATCTTTGGGGAAGGGGGCTGACACATCAGGAAGTCTGAACAGACCTTTGTGCTGAGACCTTCTGGGTACCCCATTATGCTGGATTGCATAGGAAGGGAACGGGGCTGGAAGGAATGTGAGGAGATAAGGGGGTAAGAGAGAATGTTTTCTGGTTCCATCAGGGCTCTTATGTTTGAGGCCCCTTCTAATAATACCTGTCTGAGTTTGCTCTTTTAAATTGATTTGTTCCCCCAGAGCAAACTGCTCTCCACTCTTCAAGCATTAGCTCTCTCTCATTCCTCTCCTGTACGATAGGAACAGTGTCCTTTCTTTGAACATAATCTGTGTCAGATGCTTTGACCTGTGATCACCGATTCTCAAATCAGCTTTCCAAAAGTAAATATTGTTATTTCCATTTGATAGCCAAGCTGATTGGAGCTCACAGAATTTCAGCAACTGTCCCCAAATAATATGGGTACTGAGGGTCAGAGCCAGGACTCAAACTTGCCAGCCATGGGAGTGCACCACCTTTGAAGTGGATCCTACAGACCCACTAGCTGACATATGACCTACACCACATGAAAGACCCCAAATAAGTTGACCACGTATTTATTCTATTTCTGAAAAAAAGAAACAGTGAGAGATAATACCCCTTTTTCTTAAAAAAAAAAAATCCCCAAAATTAAAGCCACATGATCTGT